AAATAAATAAATAAAAGAAAAGTGGAACAAGTCACCGACCCACTTCCACCAGCAAAGGCTGTGGTTCTTTCCACGGGTAGCTCCTCCATCCGTGCTCAGATAATAGATGTGATGGTCTCAGGCTCATTGGTGTGCTCACCAGTGTCCCATTCTAGCCGTCTGGGCTCACCGCACGCATAAAGGAAGGGCCCTGACTTGCTTTGGGGACCCGGGGGAGAGCAGCTTTCTGTAACCACGTAGCAGCGCCAGCCCTCATGCACCTGAGAGACAGGACAGGAGCTCCTAGGATGATGACGCAACACACAGGCATCCTCTTCCCAGCCCAAGACTAGAAAGCTTAACTGGCAAGAAACCTGCACGCAGCGGAATGGCTGGGGCCTGCCGCTCCCCCGACTGATTCCTGCAGCCCTGGGGAGGGAGGGAAGAGCCCGCACCTCGGAACGGGCCAGGCCTCAGTGGCCCTGACTGGCAACGTGGCTTTGGGCAAGTTGTTTATATCTGTCTGTCTGTCTTTATCAGTAAACTAGAATACTTCTCGAAGGGTTGTTCTGAAGATTTGAAGTAGTTGCTCAGAAAGTGACTGGCAATCTATGCCCTGGGAGTGAGGATGTGTGGCAGGCAGGAGGAGACGGACATCTCAGGACACACCCACCTGTTACCCATGTGCATAGACCGACACCTCACTACATACCCACCTGTTACCCATGTGCACAGACCGACGTCTCTCTGCACCCCACCTGTTACCCATGTGCACAGACCATCTCACTGCACACCCACCTGTTATTCATGTGCACAGACTGACGTCTCACTGCACACCCACCTGTTACCCATGTGCACAGACCATCTCACTGCACACCTGCCTGTTATTCATGTGCACAGACTGACGTGTCACTGCACACCCACCTGTTACCCATGCACATAGACCGGCGTCTCACTGCACACCCGCCTGTTACCCATGTGCACAAGCAGCCTGCTCCTTCGCAGCCCAGCTAGACCGTGCAATGGGATGTTATTTGGCAGTCAGAAAGGACACAGCTCTAACTCACGCTGTGGTGTGGGTGAGCCTCAAAAGCACCATGCTAAGTGAGAGACGCAAGACACAAATGTTCCACATGTTACATGACTCAGTTCCTGTGAAACCCACAGAGACAGAAGCAGCAGGGCGGGGGTGGGGACGAGAGTTAAAAAGTACCAAGCTTCCTCCTTGAGGTGTTGAAAATGTTCTAAAATTGACTTGGGATGGCTGCACAACCATGAATATACCCAAAACCATAGAACTGTACACTTCGATTTTTATGTACTTACTTTAAGAAAGGATCTCACTTTGTCACCCAGGCTAGAGTGCAGTGACATGATCACAGCTCACTGCAGCCTCGACCTCCTGGGCTCAAGCCATCCTCCCACCTCAGCCTCCTAGCTACCTGGGACCACAGGCATGCGCCACCACACCTGGCTAGTTTTTGTATTTTCTGTAGAGTCAGGGTCTTGTTATGTTGCTCAGGCTAGTCTCAAACTCCTGGCCTCAAGCAGTCCTCCCACCTCGGCCTCCCAAAGTGCTGGGATTACAGGCATGAGACGTTGTGCCCAACCAGGTTGTACACTTTAGATGGGAGAGTTGCATGGTATGTGAATTCTATCACAATAATGCTGTGGGTTTTATTGCTGTTGTTGTAGTTGTTTGAGACAGAGTCTCTCTCTGTCGCCCAGGCTGGAGTGCAGCGGTGCAGTCTTGGCTCACTGCAACCTCTGCTTCCTGTGCTAAAGCAATTCTTCTGCCTCAGCCTACCAAGTAGCTGTGATTACAGGCACCTGCCACCATGCCCGGCTAATTTTTGTATTTTTAGTAGAGACGGGGTTTTGCCATGTTGGTCAAGCTGGTCTCGACTCCTGACCTCAGATGATCCGCCCGCCTTGGCCTCCCAAAGTGCTGGGATTAGAGGCATAAGCCACTGCGTCCAGCCTATAATGCTGTTTTTAAAAAATTAGCTGGATGGCCGGACGCGGTGGCTCAAGCCTGTAATCCCAGCACTTTGGGAGGCTGAGGCGGGTGGATCACGAGGTCAGGAGATCGAGACCATCCTGGCTAACATTGTGAAACCCCATCTCTACTAAAAATACAAAAAACTAGCTGGGCATGGTGGCGGGCGCCTGTAGTCCCAGCTACTCGGAGGCTGAGGTAGGAGAATGGCGTGAACCCAGGAGGCGGAGCTTGCAGTGAGCCGAGATCGCGCCACTGTACTCCAGCCTGGGCGACACAGCGAGACTCCGTCTCAAAAAAAAAAAAAAAAAAAAAAATTAGCTGGATAATTACAAACGTGAACACGTGTGCCCAGAACTGATACATGTGTCTGTCGGCATGGACACTCCTGGGCTTCCTTCTGGTAGCTCAGCCGCCTCTCCCGACCCTGACCCTCACTGCTTGATGTTAGGAGACAAGCCCGAGGCATCTGGGTTGCCGGCTTCCACCTCGGAAGGCCGGGGCCCAGCAAAGTCAATGTGCTGTGGTTGAGCAGGGAGGCCGTCTTCCTTGCGGACAGAGACCTCTGTCACTTCCGGCTGGACCCTTGTCCCACAGCCAGGGGCAGGTGCAGAGTTGTGCTTGTTTGGGTTGGGACACTGATGAGGGCTGTGTTGCGGCCAGGCCCAACCACCATGAGCCGAGATCACACCACAGCACTCCAGCCTGGAAGACAGAGTGAGACTCTGCCTCAAAATAAATAAACAAATAAATAAATAATAAATAGAACTACCCTATGATTCAGCAATCACACACTTCTGGGTATATATCCAAAAGAGCTGGCTGGGCACAGTGGCTTATGCCTGTAATCCCAATATTTTGAGAGGCCAAGGCAGGAGGATCAACTGAGCCCAGGACTTGGAGAACATCCTGGGCAAGATGGCAAGACCCCCTGGCTACAAACAGTTAATTTTAAACCCTGGTGTGGTGTCGTAGCTACTTGGGAAGCTGAGGCAGGAGGATCGCTTGAGCCCAGGAATTAGTGCCTGCAGTGAGCTCTGATGGCGTCACTGCACTCCCGTCTGGGTGACAAAGTAAGACCCCGACTCTTTTTTTTTTTAAGTTTTTTTTTTTTGGCCGTAAGTGTATTCAATGCAAAATAATCCTCTCTAATTTTACTGAGGTGACTGGCCACATCCACGAGCAAATCCGCCTCTAAACTGGAATTCGGTTGCTGACCCAGCCCCAGCCTCGGCTTTCTTGTCGGCACCAGGAGCACAGCGCTCCGTCTGTAGGTATCTCTGTCGGCTTCCCCTCTTGTGAGTCTCGCAGGTCAGTCACCCTCCAGACCTTTAGACCGAGGCCTGCCAGTCTCTGGATGGCTGCAGCGCAGGGTGGCAGGCACAGTTTTTGGGGACAGATGAAGGTAATCATGGAGACACTGGATACCCTCATTGGTAAGGTAGCAGTAGAAATGTCTTCAGGTAGGCCGGGTGCTCATGCCTGTAATCCTAGCACTTTGGGAGGCCAAGGTGGGTGGATCACGAGGTCAGGAGATCGAGACCATCCTGGCTAACATGGTGAAACCCCGTCTCTACGCAAAATATAAAAAATTAGCCAGTCGCAATGGCAAGCGGATGTAGACCCAGCTACTCGGGAGGCTGAGGCAGAAGAATGGTGTGAACCCAGGAGGCAGAGCTTGCAGTGAACCGAGATCACACCACTGCACTCCAGCCTGGGTGACAGAGCGAGACTCTGTCTCAAAAGAGAAACAACAACAACAACAACAACAATGCAGGGACTCCTGACACATACTCCAATGTGGATAAACCTGAAGGACATTATGCCCAGTGAAATAAGCCAGACACAGAAGACAAAATACCATAGGATCACACCCACATCAGGTCCCCAGAACAGTTTGAGTTTGGGATGATGGAAAAGTTCTGAAGACAGACAGTGGACATGGTGGCACCACAATGTGACTGCATTTCACGCCATCGAAATTTACACTTCAAAATGGTTAAGATGGGCCAGGGTCGGTAGCTCATGCCTGTCATCCCAGCACTGTGGGAGGCTGAGGCGGGTGAATCACCTGAGGTCAGGAGTTCAAAAACCAGCCTGACCAACATGAAGAAACCCCATCTCTACTAAAACTACAAAGTTAGCAAGTGTGGTGGTGGGCACCTGTAATCCCAGCTACTCAGGAGGCTGAGGCAGGAGAATCACTTGAACCTGGGAGGCAGAAGTTGCAGTCAGCCAAGATAGTGCCATTGCACTCCAGCCTGGGCAACAAGAGCAAAATTCCATCTCAAAAAAAAAAAAAAAAAAAGGTTAAGATGGTAAATTTTATGTATATTTTATCACAATAAAAAGTAATAATTTTTGCAGCCAAAGTATGCAAAAAGAAATGGCTTTATTTTTATCTTTATTATTTATTTATTTATTTATTATTATTATTATTATCATTATTATTATTATTATTTGAGACAGAGTCTTACTCTGTTGCCCAGGCTGTAGCGCAGTGTGGCGTGATCTCCGCTCACTGCAACATCTGCCTCCCTGGTTCAAGTGATTCTCCTGCCTCAGTCTCCTGAGTAGCTGGGATTACAGGCGCCCACCACCACATCTGTATAATTTTTGTATTTTTCCTAGAGACAGGGTTTCACCATGTTGACCAGGCTGGTCTCGAACTCCTGACCTTAAGTAATCCACCCGCCTCGGCCTCCCAAAGTGCTGAGATTACAGGTGCGAGCTACTGCTCCCCGCCAAGAAATGACTTCAAAAGGAAAAATGTAAGCACCAGCGTAAGCTGGTGTAAAGTAATGTAATTCCCAGCAATGTAAGTTGGCAGGAATCCTTGCTCTGTATAGAAGGGTCATATTTTCTCATCACTGCTTCCAAGTGTGACAGCAGTGGCCTCGTGGCCTTATCTCAGGGAAAGCACTTCCTTCCAAGTGCCGTGAAGGCCTCACATGCTGAGATAAGATGGAAGCTCCTAGTCTTGCCTGAGGACTGACATGGCCTGTGCTTCTCGGTCTCTCAGGACGCGCGGGCGGCCGTGGGCCCCTTCGACCCCTCCAGTCTGCTGCCTGCCTGCCGGGATTACTGGACCTACGCGGGCTCGCTCACCACCCCGCCGCTGACCGAGTCGGTCACCTGGATCATCCAGAAGGAGCCCGTTGAAGTGGCCCCAAGCCAGGTGAGGTGTGCCCATAACTGGCATGATGGCACTTCATGGAAGGCGTCTCTCTTGCTTGGCAGCGTCACTAAGATACTGCATAAGAGCGTTATGGAGTTATATTCTTTCATGCCTTTGGGGCACTCTTACATAAGAAAAAATTTCCAATCAAAGCAGGAGCTTGTTGAGATTGGACAGCGGTTCCAATGATCACAGCGAGCATGCTCTGAGCAGCGCCCTGATCTATCGCACACAAACACAAGGCATTCATGGGAGCTGTCCCAGGGTCTGCAGAGTTTTTGTTTTCTTCCTTTTTCTTTTTCTTTTTTTTTTTTTTTTTGAGACAGAGTCTTGCTCTGTCGCCCAGGCTGGAGTGCAGTGGTACAATCTCGACTCACTACAACCTCCACCTCCTGGGTTCAAGCAATTCTCCTGCCTCAGCCTCCCGAGTTGCTGAGATTACAGGTGCATACCACCACACCCGGCCAGTTTTTGTATTTTTAGTAGAGACGCAGTTTCCCCATGTTGGCCAGGCTGGTCTTGAACTCCTGACCTCAGGTGATCCTCCCACCTTGGCCTCCCAAAGTGCTGGGATTCCAGGCATGAGCCACCGAGCCCGGCCTTCTTTTTTTTTGAGATGGAGTCTCGCTCTGTCGCCCAGGCTGGAGTGCAGTGGCACATTCTCGGCTCACTGCCAGCTCCACCTCTCGGGTTCGTGCCATTCTCCTGCCTCAGCCTCCTGAGTAGCTGGGACTACAGGCGCCCACCACCATGCCTGGCTAATTTTTTCTATTTTTTAGTAGAGACGGGTTTTCACCATGTTAGCCAGGATGATCTTGATCTCCTGACCTCGTGATCCGCCCACCTTGGCCTCCCAAAGTGCTGGGATTACAGGCGTGAGCCACCGCGTCCAGCCCTCCTTTTTCTTATCTAAATAGTTTCATTGCTTTTTTTCCCGAAAATTAGTTAATAATACTTGTATACATTTTTTAAAGTTATACTGTTGGGCTGGGTGTGATGGCTCACGCCTATAATCTTAGCACTTTAGGAGGCCGAGGCAGGCAGATCACTTTAGGCCAGGAGTTCGAGACCAGACTGACCAACATGGTGAAACCCCGTGTCTACTAAAAATACAAAATTAGCCAGGCGTGGTGGTGCATGCCTGTAATATCAGCAACTTGGGAGGCTGGGGCAAGAGAATAACCTGAAGCTGGGAGGTGGAGGCTGCAGTGAGCCAAGATCGCACCACTGCACTCCAGCCTGGGCAACAAGAGCAAAACTCTATCTCAAATAAATAAATAAATAAATAAAAATACAAAAATTAGCCAGGATTGGTGGCATGCGCCTGTAGTCCCAGCTACTTGGGAGGCTGAAGTAGGAGAATCACTTGAACCTGGAAGGCGAAGGTTGCAGTGAGCTGAGATCGCACCACTGCACTCCAACTTGGGCGACAGAGTGAGACTCCTTGTCTCAAAAAAAAAAAAAAACCAAAAAAAATAAATAAAAGTTTATACCATCATTTTTTTCTGGAGATATTAAGAATCTGTAACAATCCTGTCTGTCCAAGGCAGTTTAGAACCACAAGTGTGCTGCCTATATGCCCCGCCCCCACCCGGCAGACGTTTCTCAGCAGTCGCAGCAGGACTTAGCATCTCTGGTTCATCTCTTTCCGAGGGCTCCAGGTGAGGGTCTTTCAGTCTCCTGGGTCTGTGAAAATATTCTCTTGTTTACTCATTACGGCGTGATGTCATTTGCACTTGGAGATGTGGGATGCAGAATATCTGCCTGCCTCCGAAGCAGAGCCGTCGGACATGGGGAAGGCTTTGGTTGAAGGTGGCCCCTTGTCACCAAGACCCTTATGCCACTCAACAAGCATATATGTGACGAGTGCCCATTCTGGGTCTGTGCCACCAGGAGAGGGTGGGAGGGGGGCAGATGTGGAGGGGTGGCACAGGAACAGGGCATTCGTCTCAGAACACTGCGGTCTGGCAGGAAAGTAGAAGCAAAGCCAATAGTATTAAGCCAGGGTGGCCGGTGTCATGTAAAAATGCAGGGCAGGAGCCCCTTATCCTGAGCAGGGGAGCTAGGGAGGCAGGGTACACATGTCCTGGGAGGCGGGGAGTTTTCCAGGGGAGGAGAAAGGCTGCCTCTCTGAGACAGTCAACAAATGTGCAGACCACAAATGTGGATGAGCACACCGTGGTCAGGGCCCAGGAGACCACGTGCACCGTGCACAGCACAACTCTAGGGGGCACGTGATCATCACGCAGGGTTAACTGGCTCAGTACGCTGTCAGCATGTAGACATAATCTCACTTCTGAATTTAATTGAATGCGTGAGTTACCTCACAGAGTTCATAAGTATATTTTGTGAATAAGTGAGATGATACATAAAAAGTCTTTTTTTTTTTTCCTTTGGAGATGGAGTTTCCCTCTTATTGCCCAGGTTGAAGTGCAATGGCATGATCTCAGCTCACCACAACCTCCGCCTCCTGGGTTCAAGTGATTCTCCTGCCTCAGCCTCCCAAGTAGCTGGCATTACAGGCATGCCCCACCACACCTAGCTAATTTTATATTTTTAGTAGAGACAGAGTTTCTCCATGTTGGCCAGACTGGTCTCAAACTCCTGTCCTCAGGTGATTCACCCACCTCAGCCTCCCAAAGTGCTGGGGTTACAGGCGTGAGGCACTGTGCCCAGTCATAAAAAGTAGTCTTTTAGTTCCTTGAGTGAAAAGTAAATTCAAATGTTACTTTAGCATTTATATTATATGTGTCAGTTATCTATTGCTGTGTAACAAATAGCTCCAAAACATAGTGACTTCAGAAAACAATCATTTGGGCCAGGTGCAGTGGCTCATGCTTGTAATCACAGCACTTTGGGGTATGAGGCGGGTGGAACACCTGAGGTTAGGAGTTCAAGACCAGCCTGACCAACATGGGGAAACCCTGTCTCTACTAAAAATACAAAATTAGGCCGGGTGTGGTGGCTCACACCTATAATCCTAGTACTTTGGTAGGCTAAGGCAGGCAGATAACCTGAGGTCAGGAGTTTGAGAGCAGTCTGATCAACATGGAGAAGCCCCATCTCTGCTAAAAATACAAAATTAGCCGAGCATGGTGGCGCCTGTCTGTAATCCCAGTTACTCGGGAGGCTGAGGCAGGAGAATTGCTTGAACCTGGGAGGCGGAGGTTGCTGTGAGCCAAGATCACACCATTGCACTCCAGCCTGGGCAACAAAGGCGAAACTCCATCTCAAAAAAAAAAAAAAATTAGCAGGGCAAGGTGGCTCATGCCTATAATCCCAACTACTCAGGAGGCTGAGGCAGGAGAATAGCTTGAACCCAGGAGGCAGAGGTTGCAGTGAGCTGAGATCTCGCCAAAGGCACTCCAGCCTGGGAAACAAGAACAAAACACTGTGTCAAACAACAACAACAACAACAAACCAATCATTTATTTTCTCCCACAGTTTCCATGGGTTGTGAATTTGGGTGGCTCTGGCTTACCATCTTTCATGAGTTGTAGCCCAATGTCAGCTGGGACTGTAGTTATCTGAAAGCTCAACTAGGGCTAGAGGATTCATTTCCAAGGTTGGCCCTCTCAAGTGACTGGCAAGTTGGTGCTGGCAGTTGGCTGGGAGCCTCAGTTCCTCTCCCCATGGGCCTCTCCTCAGGGCTGCTTGTGTACCCTCCCAATATGGCGACCAGCTTCCCCCCAGAGCAAGTGATCCTAAAGACCAAGCAGAAGTGGCAATGCCTTTTATAACCTGGCCCTGCATACACCGTCCCTTACACTATATTTACTGGTCATTTCGGGCAATCCTGATTCAGCATGAGAGGGGACCATACAAGGCCTGAGGGACACCCAGGGGCTGGCTCACTCTGCACTCATACCAAGCTCACCCTGGCTTCCCTCTATTCCAGCTCTCTGCATTTCGTACTCTCCTGTTTTCTGCACTTGGTGAAGAGGAGAAGATGATGGTGAATAACTATCGCCCTCTTCAACCCCTGACGAACCGGAAGGTCTGGGCATCCTTCCAGACCGCTAATGAGGGCACAAGATCCTTGAGACGTTAGGTCCACATGAATAGCAGAACTGACTTTGAAAGAAGGAAGCGTTGTTTCCCAGGTTTCACAATGTGATTGTACGTGGCTTCTGAAATTAAAAAGAAAGAATGGGATTATTGCTTTAGTTGATACACTTTCCAGCTGCAAGTGAAAGAAAGATGTATAAGTGCCATGGGGAACATAACGCTGGATGGAAGTGTGTGTCATGGCACCCAAGGCAGGTGCAGGGTGCTTAGTTTCACTGCAACAAAGTACCACAAACTTGGTGGCTTAAAACAACAGAGATTGATTCTCTTATGGTTCAGTGAGCCAGAAGCCTGACACCAAGGCGTCCGCACGGCTGCTTCCTTCTGAGGCTCTAGGGGAGGATCCTTTTCCTTGCCTTTACAGCTTCTGCCTCCTCCTTGTGAGAACTCCTGGCTGGGCACGGTGCCTCACGACTGTAATCCCAGCACTTTGGGAGGCCAAGGCGGGTAGATCATGAGGTCAGGAGATCGAGACCATCCTGGCCAATATGGTGAACCCTTGTCTCTACTAAAAACACAAAAATTAGCTGGGTGTGGTGGTGCACATCTGTAGTCCCAGCTATGTGGGAGGCTGAGGCAGGAGAATCGCTTGAACCCGGGAGGCGGAGGTTGCAGTGAGCTAAGATCATGCCACTGCACTCCAGCCTGGGTGACAGAGTGAGACTCCATCTCAAAAAATAAATAAATAAATAAAAATTAAAAGCTATAGTAATTAAGATAATGTGGTACCTGTCAGAGAAGGACAAATCAACCAATGAAAAAGATAGCGTGTCTAGAAGCTTCCACACATTAGTGATCCCTGAGTCATGCTGTAGGGAATGGATGGGCTTTTCTGTGAACAGTTTTGGATAATTTAGATATCTATCTATCTACTGATTGATTGACCAATTCATCTGTCGATCCACGGGGTCTCACTGTGTTGCCCAGATTGGTCTTGAACTCCTGGGCTCCAACAGTTCTCCTGCCTTGACTTCCCAAAGTGCTGGGATTACAGGCATAAGTCACCCCACCCAGCCAACTGGATATCCAAATGGGGAACCATGAATCTTTTTTCTCACCATACCTCACACCCCTACCTCACAGCACACACAAAAATTAATTTCTGACTGATCATAGATCTAAACAGGAAAAGTAAAACAAAGCTCCTAAAAAATAACATAGGAGCTGGGCATGATGGCTCGCACCTGTAAACCCAGCGCTTTGGGAGGCCGAGGCGGTTGGATCACCTGAGGTCGGGAGTTCCAGACCAGCCTGACCAACATGGAGAAACCATGTCTCTACTAAAAATACAGAAGTAGCTGGGTGTGGTGGCATATGCCTGTAATCCCAGCTTCTCGGGAGGCTGAGGCAGGAGAATTACTTAAACCTGGGAGGCAGAGGTTGCAGTGAGCCAAGATCGCGCCATTGCACTCCAGCCTGGGCAACAAGAGCGAAACTTCGTCTCAAAAAAAAAAAAAAAAAAAGACTTGATCCAGAACTCAATGATGGGTCTGAGCGTGGCTTTTCTGTCTTTCTTTCATGATGTTGTCTCTCTCTTGGCAAACTCATTCCTTTAATGGAAAGAGAGCTACCACTGGTGCCAGGACGGTTTCCATTAATTTATATAACATTTATTGAGCGCCAATTATGTGGCAGGCTCTATTCTAGACTCTGGAGATGGAGCCTAGACTGCCTCAGGTCTGAAGAGCCTTTGCCTGCGGAGCTCACACTCTGATGAAAGGAGGTAGACAATGATGCATAAACACAGAAAGTCTGGGGTGGCAAGTCACAGGGAGAGGACATGGCTGGGTGGGGAGGTCTCTTCTACAGGGGCCATTTGGGCAGAGACCGAGGGAGGAGTGAACCACATGGCTACATGAGGGCAGAAAATTCCAGGTAGAAGCTGGAGGCAGGAGTGCCCTTCGGATGTTCAAGGTACAGCCAGAGGGTGAGGGCAGCCAAATGCAGGGGTGAGGAGAGAGGCATGGGAGGCAAGGGTGGTTACTGGGGCACCACAGGCTGGGTGGAGACTTTGGAGCTGTGGCTGGGTTCTGAGCAAAGGGCATTTTTAGTGGGGAGGCTGGGTTTGGTTGTGCTGCTAGAGAGTTTTCCAAAGTGGTCCTTCCTGTCCTTGCCACTGGGTCACTGTGTGCATTCTGGAGGGTGTCCCAGGTGTCTCCTGCGGATTTCATTTACATTTCCCTAATGATTAACCATGATGAGCATTTTGTGCAGATTCATTGGTCATCTGCATCTCCTCTTTCACCAGATACCTACTTGAGATATTTGCCCATTTTTCTCTTGGGCTGTCTGTGGTTTTCTTACTGATTTTTTAGTTCTTTATATATTCCAGTTATAAGGCCTTTGCCCATTTTACAAATCTCTTCTCCCACTCTGGGGCTGCCTTTCACTCTTTTTTTTTTTTTTAGACGGAGTCTCGCTCTGTCACCTGGGCTGGAGTCACTGCAACCTTCACCTCCCGGGTTCAGGCGATTCTGCTGCCTCAGCCTCACAAGTAGCTGGGATTACAGGCGTGCGCCACCAGGCCTGGCTAATTTTGTATTTTTAGTAGAGATGGGGTTTCTCCATGTTGGTCTCGAACTCCCGACCTCCAGTGATCCGCCCGCCTCGTCCTCCCAAAGTGCTGGGATTACTGGCAGGAGTCACCGCGCCCGGCCCGGATCAAGCTTATACCAATGGCTGCAGCTGATCAGTTTCGCAAGCCAACAGGTGCCCTTTCTTGTAAGCCAGTTTGGGTTTCTTTTTACCTGTTACTTGCTTGGAAAAAAATCTGAATCAGTACAGTGTTTTTCTTTTCCTTTTTTTAGACAGAGTCTCTCTCTGTTGCCCAGGCTGGAGTGCAATGTCACAATCTCGGCTCACTGCAACCTCTGCCTCCCGGGTTCAAGTGATTCTCCTGCCTCAACCTCCCAAGTAGCTGGGATTACAGGTGCCCATCACCACGCACAGCTAATTTTTTTTTTTTAGTAGTGATGGAGTTCACCATATTGGCCAGGCTGGTCTCGAACTCCTGACCTCAGGTGATCTGCCTACCTTGGCCTCCCAAAGTGCTGGGATTACAGGGATGAGCCACCGAGCCTGGCCCAGTATTTTTGTTTTCATAGCATTAAAAAATCTTCCCGCCAGAAGAGAGAAAGTTTTGCAATCAACCTAAACATATTATCTTCCAACGTTACCTTACAGCCAGATAAGCACAGAAAACAGATGCTAATCTGTTTCCGAAGGAAACAGGGGAGATAAAGAATAAATGATAAGTAGATTAGGTCAAGTGTGGCGACTCATGCCTGTAATCCTGGCACTTTGGGAGGCTGAGGCGGGTGGATCACGAGGTCAGGAGTTCAAGACCAGCCTGGCCGATATGGTGAAACCCCCTTCTCTACTAAAAAAATACAAAAAATTAACCGGGCGTGGTGGCACGTACCTGTAGTCCCAGCTACTTGGGAAACTGAGTCAGGGAGAAATGCTTGAACCCTGGAGGTAGAGGTTGCAGTGAGCTGAGATTGCGCCACTGCACTGCAGCCTGGGTAACAGAGTGAGACTCCATCTCAAAAAAAAAAAAACCTCAGGCTGGGCATGGTGGCTCACGCCTGCAATCCCAGCACTTTGGGAGGTGGGCAGATCATGAAGTCAGGAGTTTGAGATGAGCCTGGTCAATATTGTGAAACCCCATCTCTACTAAAAACACAAAGAAAAATTAGCCCGACGTGGTGGCACACACCTATAATCCCAGCTACTGTGGAGGCTGAGGCCGGAGAATTGCTTGAACCTGGGAGGCAGAGGTTGCAGTGAGCCAAGATGGTGGCCACTGCACTCCAGCCTGGGGGACAGAGCGAGACTCTGTCTCAAAAAGAAAAAATAATAATAATAAAATACAAAAACTAGCCAGAAATCTCTTGAACCTGGGAGGTGGAGGTTGCAGTGAGCTGAGATTGTGCCACTGCCCTCTAGCCTGGGCAACAGAGTGAGACTCCATCCCCTGCCCCCACCAAATTAAAATTTCTGGCTCTTTATAGGAGGTCACATTTGGTGGTGATGCTGGGTGAAAGAGGGTTGGGTGGAAGGAATCAAAGTGGAAGTGGGACAGCACCAAGCTGGGAAACGGGCACGTTTCAGTTCTGCCTCTAAGCTGATGCTCCTGACTTAGAATCCATCGATCAAGAGGAGTTTGCTGAAGGATAGGGTTTATGGCTGCCTCGCCCGCTCCTGAACCAGGCCCGGGGTGAAGTGTGTTGTGCGCATTCAGCAGCTCCAGTCCCACTGTGGGTCGTACTGACCTGCTGGGCCCAGTGCACGCCCCAGAAGCTCGCAGTGCCATTGGTCTGGGGAACGGTGTTTTAGGAAGCTCCCAAAGTGACAGGATGGTGTCACCGGGCATAAGGGCCACGGCACTCCCAATGAGTTGTGACAAGGTCTACAAAATCATCCCTAGTTTTTAATAAGGACACTGGAATAAGGCTCACTTGAGAAGTTGAGAAACTTGTCGCTGACCCCCAGGCCAAGGGATAGGCAGCATTTTACTCTTGCCTTCTCTGATGTGTGCAATTAGTCAAGGAAAAAGTGCAGCAAAGAGAGAAAGTCCTGAACTTTAACACCCAGGAGAAAGCTTATCCTACAACGCCGGGCAGTTCACGCTGATGGAAGCAGTGGCCAGAGGAAGGCCCTTGCCTGAGCTTCCTGCAGCAGTATGAGAACAGCCTGCTTCTCTGGTGGGGAAGGGGTGACACAGTCAATGGAGGGGGTGGTCTCTGAATCTGGAGCTTGGGATGGGGGCAGAGAGCAGCTATACAGCCATTCTCCATGGACCGCCCATTTCCATGGGGACTTGAGGACACAGAAAGGTCCAAGAGGCCAGAGGGGCCCTGGGCTCCAGTTCTACCTGCCCCACGTTGACATCGTGTCCAACAAGACACCAAGAGAAGCAGGGATGACTGACCTTCATTTTCCATATCGACACGGGGGGCCTCTGCGTGCACGAACATCTTTGTCTCCTGAAAAATGGCCTTTGTCAGTTATTTTTAAAAACTGGTGTTAATCCTGAGATGTGGAGATACTCCTGGGAAGCCAACCGAGCCTGGACACACGGAGATGAAACCACAAACACACCCAGAGGAAAAGACATTGATTCCAACCCTCAAAGCAACGGGACAAAAAACAAACAGGAGGCTTCCCTCCCGCCCCAGGGACAGCGGCCAATGTCGGCGGCTCTGCAGGACAGACTCTCCCTGGGACCAGATTGCAACTTCCGATTATATTATAGAATTTCTGGCCCAACTTTTAAGGTTCAAGGCTTCCTCCCTTTGCTTTTATGTTATTTTCTCGTTTAATAAAGATACGCGTGTGTGAGAAGCATCGCCTGTTCCCAGCCACCGCCTCCTCCTCCCCGGCTTCCTCCCCGTCCCCAGCACGTCCTCCCATTGACCTTCCAGAGAACCAAGCTCAATTCAGAGCAGGCCATGTGTCCAGCTAAATCCCCTCAGCCTTGCCCCGTTGGGACAGAATTCACATTCTTGTCCCCCCGCCCCCGTCCTCTCCTGGCAGCCCACTCTGTGCCGACCAGGATATCGGCCCCTCCCACCCCAGGGCCCTCGTGGCTATTCTGATGGGCCTGAGGGCACCCTTCCCCACTGGCCCTACACCACCTGCTCGACACCTGCTCCTCCTGTTCCCTCAGCCTGAACTGAGCCCCCAGATGGCACCTGGCACACAGCGGTGCCCAGCAGTAATGGGGCTGTCATTTTTTGACACTTGTCTGTCCTGCTGAAAGGTGGGCTGTCCGTGCATTGCTGCGTCCCCAACTCTGTGCCCACCAACCCCTCCACACACGTTGGAAAGAAAGTCTGAGGGTAGAAGCCAGGCATTCGGCCGGCCCCGGGAGCACAGTTCTGCAGTGATGGCAATGCCAGCAGCTCAGGGTCCTCCACCTGCTGGCTCCGGGAGCACAGTTCTGAATGAGGATGACAGCAGTAGCTTGGGGTCCTCCACCCACCAGCCCCGGGAGCACAGTTCTGCAGTGATGGCAATGCCAGCGGCTCAGGGTCTTCTACCCACTGGCCCCCAGGAGGCGGGCACAGGTGTCTCCCTGCTTCACAGAGCAGGAAACTGAGACTTCGAAAGCTGAGCTGAGTCACTCGCCTGGTGCCACATTAATCAGCAAGTGGTAGAGGTGAGATTTGAATCCAGGACCCTTCAATTCTAGGCCTGAACTGCTTTTAGTTTTTGGATGTAAAGTTCACACATAGCATAACATTAACCGTTAGTAATTTAAACACGTACAGATCCGTGGTGGTCACTCCCAGTGTTGGGCAACCATCCCTATCATCTAGTTCCAAGACATTTCATCACCCCAAAGAGAGATCCCATCCACTCAGCCCTCACTCTCCATCGCCCCTGCCCCCAGCCCTAAGCAGCCACGAATCTCGTCCGTCTCTCTGGATCCACCTATCCTGGACATTCGTGCACTCGGAATCATACAACGCATGGTCACTGACCCTTTCACGCAGCCCAGTGTTTTCAGGGGTCCTGCACTTTGCAGTGCTTCTTCCTGTGTGCGGCTGAATGACGCTCCAAGGGATGGCGGACTACGCTGGGTTTATCCATCATCCACGGATGGACAGGCCTGAACTCTGCCCCCGACTTCTACTGTTGCTTCCATGTCATCTTTTTTTTTTTTTTTTCCAAGACGGGTCTCACTCTGTTGCCTAGGCTGGAGTGCAGTGGCGTGATCTCAGCTCACTGCAGCCTCAACCTTCCCAAGCTCAGGTGATCCTCCTACCTCAGCCTCCCCAGCAACTGGGACGACAGGTGCACCACCACCACAACAGGTTAATTTTTGTATTTTTTTTGTAGAGATGGGGTCCCTCTGTTGTCCAGGCTGGTCTTGAACTCCTGGGCTCAAGAGGTCCTCCCACTTTGGTCTCCCAAAGGGCTGGCATTACAGGCATGAGCCACAGCACCCGACCTCCAAGTCATCTTTGACACACAGAGCACGTCTGAGAGCAGCAACAAGAGTAACTTTGGGGCCAAAGCTGAGAAGTGGGGCGGAGCCCTTCCTGGTGGCCGGTCGTCAGTACGGCGCCTGAAACGCACACAAAGTCTATTTTTATTTTATCTAGTTGAACCTAAGCAAAAAATCTGGCCCTGCAATCTCTAACCTTGCTTCTAGCTGTTACTGAGCAATCGCAGAGCTTCGGATTTTACTTGCAGGCATGGCCACTGTTTACCATTCCCCCATACGAACTTCAGAAGCTAGAAGGATTCGGTGAAGGAAAGTCATGAGTGCCTTTTCTCTAACCAGAACGGTGGATGTTTCCAGTGAAGAGGCAATGAGGCTTTCAAGGTGCCACCAGGAGCAGCTGAAATGAAGTTCTCTTTTTTTTTTTTTTTTTTTTTTTTTAGACAGAGTCTCACTCTGTTGCCCAGGCTGGAATGCAGTGGCACGATCTTGCCTCACTGCAACCTCTGCCTCCCGGGTTCAAGCAATTCACCTGCCTTAGCCTCCCGAGTAGCTGGGATTATAGGCACCTACCACTGAACCCGGCTAATTTTTGTATTTTTAGTAGAGACGGGGTTTCACCATGTTGGCCAGGCTGGTCTTGAACTCCTGACCTTGTGATCCACCCACCTCAGCCTCCCAAAGTGCTGGGATTACAGGCGTGAGCCACCGCCCCCGGCCAAAGTTCTCTTTTAACTGGGAGAATTCACATGCTTATGAATCTGGCTGCCTATGGAAGTGGCACCGTCATTGTGGCCATCAGCATTGCCACGAGGATTAAAGGCCCGCCCTGGGTCTGAAGCCAGGCTTGGCCACTTACTGAACTGCCCTTTTTCTCCAACCATAAATGAGGACTAACTACGGTTGCTACAAAAATTAAATGGCATAGAAAGTGTGAAAGGAACATAAATCCTGGGACCCCACACTCGCTAACCAAAGGGAAAAGTGAAGCTAGCGACTGTGTCATGGGGACCGGCCTCCTGTTTCGATTCTGAATTATTGAGGAACAAATAACTACAAAGATGAAAAGATTGGCTGGGCTTGGTGGCTCACACTTGTAATCCCAGCACTTTGGGAGGCCGAGGCGGGTGGATCACTTGAGGTTAGCAATTCCAGACCCGCCTGGCCAACATAATGAAACCCCATCCCTACTGAAACTACAAAACTTAGCCGGTGTGGTGGCAGGTGCCTGTAATCCCAGCTACTTGGGAGACTCAGGCAGGAGAATCACTTGAATCTGGGAGGTGGAGCTTGCAGTGAGCCGAGATCGACACACTACACTCCAGCTTGGCGACAAAGTGAGACTCCATCTCAAAAAAAAAAAAAAAAAAAGATGAAAAGCTACATACCTCCCTCACATTTTGCCCATAAGGAAATTCCTTGTGGGCTTCAAGATCTTCACCCTAAAGCGCTTCTGTTAAAGTTCACCCTGGCAATGTGAACTGATGGCTTATCTTCACATGTGCTGGGACGAGGGGCAGAACTGAGTTGTCCCTCCACCTACCTGAGGCAAATGCATATCTCATTGTTTCCGCTGCCCTGTCTTCGGTATCTTATGTAAAACCGCAGAGTCACTGAACCAGACGAAAATGTGAATTTTCCTCCACCCCCTCACATGAAAATTGTGTATTTCCCAATATCCTGCCCTTCCCCCTTTCAATATTGAAGCCCTCAAAATCATCTTCGGATAAAGGCACAGACCAGTCTCCCAGGTGCGCGTCCCTAATGTTGGCATTTAAACCTAAAATGATGGAGACTTGCCTCAGTCATCTTCCGTGACTGGCAAGAGTCTTTAAGGCCTGGCCCAGGCCGAACACTTACTGAGTGACTGCCCTACACACCTATCTACCAGGAAACAGAACGGAATTTCTAGTTGTACTCAGGGCAGCCCCACCTTGTCAAGCATGCTGACAGGGAAAGCTAACCTCTGAGCATAGCAAAAGCATGGCTTTCAAAAACAAACCTCTGGAAGAAGCAAGGACCCTTGCTATGTTAAAAGATGCAGACATTTCTCCCCTACAACTGAGAACCAGCCGGGCAGGGGGCTCATAGGTGTGAGGAAGCCCCAGCAAGCCTGACTTCAATTGAGGGTTGTGAAGCCAGCAAATCTGAGCCTCAGTTAATTTAGAAAGTGTATTTTGCCAAGCTTGAGGGCACGCCCGTGACACAGGCTCGGGAAGTCCTGACCACATGGGCCCAAACTGGTTGGGATACATTTTAAGGAGACATGAGATACCAATCAAGTACATTTTTAAAAAGGCGGGACAACTCAAAGTGGGAGGGGGGCTTCCAGGCTAGAGGTAAATTTAAACATTTTCTTCTTTTTTTTTTGAGACAGAGTTTTGTTCTTCCACCCAGGTTGGAGTGCAGTGGCATGATCTTGGCTCACTGCAACATCCGCCTTCCACTTTCAAGTGATTCTCTTGCCTCAGCCTCCCAAGTAGCTGGGATTACAGGCACCTGCCACCATGCCCGGCTAATTTTTGTATTTTGAGTAGAGATGGGGTTTCACCACGTTGGCCGGGCTGGTCTTGAACTCATGACCTCACGATCCGCCTGCCTCGGCCTCCCAAAGTTCCCAAAATGCTGGGATTATGGGTGTCAGCCATCGTGCCTGGTCAATTTAAACATATTCTGGTTGACAATTGGTTGAGTTTGTCTAAAGACCTGGATCTTCGCTGGGCGCAGTGGCTCATGCCTGTAATCCCCGCACTTTGAGAGGCCGAGCTGGGTGGGTCACCTGAGGTCAGGAGTTCCAGACCAGCCTGGCCAACATAGTGGAACCCGGCCTCTACTAAAACTACAAAAATTAGCTGGGCGTGGTGGCGGGCGCCTGTAATCTCAGCTACTCGGGAGGCTGAGGCAGAAGAATCACTTGATCCTGGGAGGCGGAGGTTGCAGTGAGCCAGATCGTGCCATTGCACTCCAGCCAGGACGACAGAGCGAGACTCTGTCTCAAAAAAAAAAAAAAAAAGGAAAGAAAAACACAAAAGACCTGGGATCAGTAGTAAGGAATGTTTGGGGGCCAGGCACAGTGGCTCACGCCTGTAATCCCAGCACTCTGGGAGGCCGAGGCAGGCAGATCATGAGGTCAGGAGATAGAGACCATCCTGGCTAACACCGTGAAACCCCGTCTCTACTAAAAATACAAAAAATTAGACGGGCTTGGTGGCACATACCTATAGTCCCAGATACTCGGGAGGCTGAGGCAGGAGAATCGCTTGAACCCAGGAGGCAGAGGTTGCAGCGAGTCGAGATCACTCCACTGCACTCCAACCTGGGTGACAAGCAAGACTCTTGTCTCAAAAAAAAAAAAAAAAGGAATGTTTGGGTTGCAGTGAGGCTGTGGAGATGAAAGTTGTATCATGCAGATGAAGCTTTTAGCTAGCAGGCTTCAAAGAGAACAGGCTGTAAAATGTTAATCTTTAAGTCTGATAGACTTAAGTCAACACAGACTTTAAGTCTGTGTTGGTGTTAGTGCTGGAGAGGTCTCTGACCCCCACTTCCCTTCCTGGCCCGAACCAGTCTTTCAGGTTAAATTTTAAGAGCCCTGGCGGAGGAGGAAATCTGTTTAGATGGCTGGAGCATCCCTTAGAATTTTATTTTTGGTTTATAGGGTTTACCAGGTAAGTCGTTTTCCCAGGAAAAAGAATGAGTTGAAAGGAAGAGCAAGGATCCGCTCAGGACCTCACTCCTGCATTTTGCTGAGATGAAAACCACAATCCCTGCACTGGGAGACTCGCCTCACAATCTGAAAAGGAAGGATTGTCCCCCAGGTTCCCTCTCCTCGCCCTGCGGCCTTGCTGCTCCCCTGCAGCTGCTCCAAATGACAGAATAATGACAGGTTCGCCTAGTGAGGGAGGGTGGCCTGCTCAACTCCACGCTGGCGCTCTGAGCGGGACGGAAGAAGACTCATCTCATTTATGCTGCAAACGGCCTTAAGAAGGACCTGAAGGGGACGGCACACAGTGGCTCATGCCTGTAATCCCAGCACTTTGGGAGGCCGAGGCGGGCGGATCACGAGGTCAGGAGATCAAGACCATCTGGGCTGACATGGTGAAACCCCGTGTCTACTAAAAATACAAAAAACAAAAACAAAAAAATTAGCCGAGCGTGGTGGCAAGCGCCTGTAGTCCCAGCTATTTGGGAGGCTGAGGCAGGAGAATCGCTTGAACCCGGGAGACGGAGGTTAGAGTGAGCTGAGATCATGCCACTGCACTCCAGCCTGGGCTATAGAGCGAGACTCTGGCTCAAAAAAACAAAAACCAAAAAAACAAAAAACAAAAAAAACACGTCATGATCGTTACCGGTGACATACACTTTGTTCCACCATGTGGATGTACAGTGTTTACCAAAACAAATCTGCTGGACATTTGGCTTATTTCCAATATTGGCTATTATTATTCTTTTGAGACAGGGTCTCACACTGTCACCCAGAGTGGAGTGCAGTGGCATCATCACAGCTCACTGCAGCCTCAATTCATGAGCTCACGCCATCCTCCCACCTCAGCCTCCTGAGTAGCTGGGACTACAGGCACACACCACCACACCCAGCTAATCTTTTTTATTTTTGGGAGAGACAAGGTCTTGCTACGTTGCCCAGGCTGGTCTTGTACTCCTGAACGAAGCAATCCTCCCACCTTGGCTTCCGCAGGTGCTGGGATTATAGGCGTGAGCCACCACACACCCGGCACTGGCTATTATCTCTTAAAGCTATAGGAAACAACTGTGGAGCCAAAACGCAGCATATATTCTTTTTTCTTTTTCTTTTTCTTTTTTTTTTTTTTGAGATGGAGTCTCCAAGTCTCACTTTGTCGCCAGGCTGGAATGCAGTGGCATGGTCTTAACTCACTGAAACCTCCGCTTCTTGGATTCAAGCAATTCTCCTGCCTCAGCCTCCCAAGTAGCTGGGATTACAGGCATGTGCCATCATGCCTGGCTAATAACACAGCATATATTCTTATTTCCTTAGAGAAATCCCAAAAGTGGAATTGCTGAGTCAAAGGGAATTAGGCTTTTGACAGACACTCCCAAATTTCCCTCTATAGAAAGTACTCTCCCATCAACTGCGTGTGGTGGCTCACGCCTGTAATCCCAGCACTTTGGGAGGCCAAGGTGGGCGGATCACAAGGTCAGGAGTTTGAGAGCAGCCTGACCAACATGGTGAAACCCTGTCTCCACTAAAAATACAAAAATTAGCTGGGTGTGGTGGCGCGTGCCTGTAATCCCAGCTACTCAGGAGGCTGAGGCAGGAGAATCGCTTGAACCTGGGAGGTGGAGGTTGCAGTGAGTCGAGATTGCGCCACTGCACTCCAGCCTGGGCAACAGAGTGAGTCTCCATTTCAAAAAAAAGAAAAGAAAGTATTCTCCCAACCAGCTCAAGTGAGAGTGACACAACTTTTTTTTCTTTTTTTTTTTCTTTTTTTTTTTTATCCTCTGAAAATACACAACTTTTGATAAATTACTGACTGAAGCTGAAAAGACCACGGTGCTGCTGACGATGGGCTGAATCGTCCGTAAAAAACAAAACGCTGCCAAATGTGTCCACCAGATGGCACTCTTTGCTAAGATTATAGAGTTGTAGCTTTCAGGTGAAGGCGGTTCAGGACTTCAGATTGCATCAGAAAGTCTGAGATGAGTAAATTCGCTGCATAAATCTAGGATGTTGCCATATGAAAACCAAGTAAAAACTGACAGAGGTGGCGTAATAGCTGTGTAACTTGAAAACGCTCATGGCTGTTGTCACCCTTCCTGCTCAAGGGCTCCAGCACTTGCCAGGAGCCTGGCTCTGGGGGCAGCAACCATGATTTGCACCAACTGCACAGGACCCCTCTGTGCCTCTGGGGCCCCCTGCGCCTCCCTTATTAATTCTCACTCACCCTGGGCTCTCAGCTCCAGACACCACCTCAGAAAAGTCTATCTGGACCTGCCGGGTCCCTGTCGCTGGCTCACTTGGCCCCCTGTCGTGTCTTTGGCTTATCATGGTTGTAATTCTATGCTTTGGGGTACGACTGTTGGTTGTCCTTCTTGTTGCTCAGAGAAGAATGGCAGAATGATTAAAAGTACCATATAAGTTCAGAGTCAAAAGGACAGCTCCCAGGCCACTTGCTGGCTAGACAAGAGAGGTAACCCTACTTACTAAGCCTCAGCTTCCTTATCTCCAAAATGGTTCTAATTGGCACCTACCCTATTGCATAAGATGCTGCCTAGGGGAGGACTTAGGGAGTGCTCAGTGAGTTTGCCCAGCCATGGTGGTACTGTCTCCTTCCCTCTGCAGGCACAGTGGTAAGAACAAGGCGATGGAGGGTTCTCTGCACCTTCCCCAGCCAGCAATGTGGACGGCACATTAGAAGTTAGCATCTGTGTGACCTCTGCGCTCCCTGCCTGTGGCTGCCTGGACTGCTGAGCTTTCGCTTGGTTTTATCACTGCAGAGGAATGCCCGCCATACTGGGGGGCAAGCAAGGTCCAGAATGACAAGCCCTGGCATTCCTCAGCCGCCCCCTCCCCCGGGTGGGGCCTGGACATTCCTGGCTGCAGTTAGACGTCCCAGCATGACGGGGACTCCGACCCCCCTCCACCATGGCTATTGTTCGGAATTCTGTGGATTCCAGAGGCGTCTGCCCAGCAGACTGTCTTGCTGTGAACAACCAGCTCTGCAACTGGAGTTTGTGTGTTTGCCCTGGGAGGGTGAACGTTCACGCAGAACAAGGCCTCCCCACATGCCTGTAGGCTGCTGCCGCTGTGAGCTTCCAAGGAGCCGTTAGGACACATGCCAAGGAACCCCGGGTTGGGGGGGATCCCGGGAAGCTTCCTCCCTGACCCACACCCTCTGAACAGGTCTTTGGCTGCTCACCAGTCTGGTCAGTCTGGGGGCAGTATTTATATTCCTTCCCATTTCCAGGCCTAGAGCCTTGGCACCCTGCTCTCGCTCCTCTAACTGAAATTAACTCTCAACCCTTTTTACCTGAGATGCCTCTCACATTCCCCAGGGATAACAAGTTTTAAAGCCCCTTCACACTGAAGTCTGCCTTTGAATTCCTCAGCTACATTTGGGGGTGGGGTCTTATAGCTCCAGGGGAACCCCCCCATTCTGTTGATTAAATTGAGCTCAGGCAGACTCCTGGCTTCCCAAAGCCTGTGTTATTACCGCTTCTCAAAGCTGCGGGCACCGGATCGCCGTCTTTGGCAAGACTCCTTTGTGATACAATGGGAATTACTGGGTGGCCTCGGTTCGGTTCTTCCCTCCTCTCAGTTCGCGGTTCACCAGCCCCCCCGATGCAGCCCCCAGGCTGGAAGGAGGCTGCAGGAGCTTCCCCGCGGGTCATCCTCTCATGCCTCCCCCGTGCCCCAGGAGCTGGTTGTGGGGGCTGCTCTATCCCCTCGGCCCATCCGGGACAGGAGCCTAGGTTTGCTTTGGGGGGTACCCCAAACCCCATCCTTGGCTTCAGGCCAGCCCTGGTGCACCGCCCGCTCCCAAGCTAGACGCGAGGCTGCGGGCGAGTAGGTGAAGGGGCGCGCCGTGACCTCCAGGCCCCGCCCAGGCGCACCCGGGAGGACGGGCTGGGGCGACGCGGGCGTCGGCGGGGAGGTCGCGAGGCCGGGGTCTCCACGGCGCAGGAGGGCTGGGGCCTCCGGGGACGACGCGGGCCTGGGAATAGCCCGCCAGGCTGGGCCGGTCGACGCACGTGCTCCGAGCCGGGCGGAGGGGGCGGGGCTGAGGGCCGGGGCCGGGGCGGGGCCTGGCGGCGGGTTACGGGGCGGGGCGGGGCCGCGGGCGGTGGGCGGGGCCGGCGGGCCCGGGCCTAAAAGGCGGCGCGGGCGGGGCTCCTGACGCAGCGGCGGGCGGCGGGCGGCGGGCGGCGCGCGCACTCCGAGCTGGGTTGCGGCTCCCGGGTCTCCCAGGCCCGGCCGGCGCGGAGAGCATGGCGGGCACGGGCCCGAAGCGGCGCGCGCTGGCGGCCCCGGCGGCCGAGGAGAAGGAAGAGGCGCGGGAGAAGATGCTGGGCGCCAAGAGCGCGGACGGCGCGGGCCCGGCGGGCGAGGGCGAGGGCGTGACCCTGCAGCGGAACATCACGCTGCTCAACGGCGTGGCCATCATCGTGGGCACCATCATCGGCTCGGGCATCTTCGTGACGCCCACGGGCGTGCTCAAGGAAGCGGGCTCGCCGGGGCTGGCGCTGGTGGTGTGGGCCGCGTGCGGCGTCTTCTCCATCGTGGGCGCGCTCTGCTACGCCGAGCTGGGTACCACCATCTCCAAGTCGGGCGGCGACTACGCCTACATGCTGGAGGTCTACGGCTCGCTGCCCGCCTTCCTCAAGCTCTGGATCGAGCTGCTCATCATCCGGCCCTCCTCGCAGTACATCGTGGCCCTGGTCTTCGCCACCTACCTGCTCAAGCCGCTTTTCCCCACCTGCCCGGTGCCCGAGGAGGCAGCCAAGCTCGTGGCCTGCCTCTGCGTGCGTGAGTACGGGGCGCGGGCCGGGGTTGGGAGGTCGTAGTCCCTGGGTCCCTGGGTCCCTGCATCCTTGCGTCACTACTCCCCCGGCTCCCACATCTCTACATTTTTGCATCCCTGGACCATCCCGGCAGTTCTAGGCTAAGGTCATTGGTCCCAGAAACCACGTGCGTTTCTTTCATTCATTCTTTTACACTTCTTCCCACGGGCTAAGAATATCTTCAGTGAGGGGACAGCAGGGTCCTTGCCCTGCCCTTCGGTGAGCATTCCATTCCCCCACTTACGCGATTCAGGCAAGTGCCAGCCTCCCGTTGGCCCCGCTGAGCAATACTCCCAGCCTCTTGCGTGGCACCCACGTGGAGTAACTGAGCAACCGATTTACTGTTAGAGCTCCGATTGCTGACTGGTTGGTAAGAAGGAAATTGCAGTTAAAAAAAAAAACCCATTCATTTCTGCTCTCCAAACCAACCAGCTTGTCAGGAGTCAGTGACAAGGGCTGACTCATAAGAAAACAGTAGTAATAAAATCGTATGCGGGCAGTGACTGGTGCTGGTTTAGGCTAAGGGATCCCCCCGAGGGTTGCCCAGTAGTGAGAGAGGGGAGCTTGGCTGCAGATTCAGTCTTGGAGTGGATGGATGTGCGAGTCCCAGGTTATGCTGGGAAACAGCCATGGGGCAGCTGTTTTGGTGGACTCGGTGCTGGTGTGTTCTTCACCAGGCCAGAGAGAACTGCTTTTCAAAACAGTTTTCTTGTGGGATTTCAGGGGGAAAATCACTTGTACCAGATGTCACATGATTTGGCTGGGTGGGGTGTGAAGGCAGGTCTTGGCAATTCTCAGGTTCATGGCCTTGGAAGGGTCCTGCTTTTGAAGTTTATGTTGGAACCCTGGCCATCCCAACTTAGATTTATTTGCATTAAGAGCTGCCAGCTAATTTGAGGATGGGCCTGGATCTCGATAGTGTGTGCACACATTCAAGGTGGGAAGGACTAAATTTATAGTTTGGAGCCAAAATCAGGGGACTGTGTAATTACTTGGAGTGACTTCTGACTGGCAGGACCTGTTGGCGCTGTTTTCTGCCACACTGTACTTTGGGGGGAAGGGAGAGGGGGAGGCATTTATTCATAAATGTGAGAATGCCCCGAGGGCAAGACTCAGCTGGGCTCTGTGTGGTTTCCCTGAGTCTGAAAAGCTTCCCTGAGGCCCTGAGCAGAGCAGCCGCACCACTATGCAGGTCAAAGCCAGGACAAATCATAGCAGCACAGGAGTGGGTAGAGCCTGTGGCTTCCAGCTGGGTGTTGGAGATGTGGATGTAAAGGATGACTCTGGTTTCTCTTTTTGTCATTAGGAGAATTTCACGAGTTCAGTCTCCCTCCCACCTAGGTACATGTCGGCCCAGAATGTAACGACATGGATAATAGCTTACACAGCCTGCACTCTTAACTTTAAAAATGAATCCCTGGTTGGCTGGGTGTGGAGGCCCACACCTGTAATCCCAGCACTTTGGGAGGCCGAGAAGGGCAGACCTACCAAGGTCAGGAGATCAGTCAAGATCCCGCCACTGCACTCCAACCTGGGTAACAGAGCAAGCCTGTCTCAAAAAATGAGTTCCTGAGTGCTGAGCCTCTGACTTCCTACTGGTACCAGGAGTGAGTCATGAGAAATGCTGCATTGGCCACCAGGAAGGAGACATAGGATAGGGTGCTGCCTAGTTTTCTCTTTTTAATGAAAAACACATCAGTCATACATGAATTCGTCATCATTTAAAAATTCAAACCAGCCAGGCACTGTGGCTCACGCCTGTAATCCCAGCACTTTGGGAGGCTGAGGCGGGCAGATCACCTGAGGTCAGGAGTTCGAGACCACCCTGTCCAACATGGTGAAACCCCGTCTCTACTAAAAATACAAAAAATTAGCTGGACGTTGTGGCAGATGCCTGTAATCCCAGCTACTCAGTAGGCTGAGGCAGGAGAATCACTTGAAGCCAGGAGGTGGAGGTTCAGTAAGCTGAGATCGTGCCACTGCACTCCAGCCTGGACAACAAGGTGAGACTCCATCTCAAAAAAAAAAAAAAAAAAAAGCAGCCGGATGTGATGGCTCAAGCCTGTAATCCCAGCGCTTTGGGAGGCCAAGATGGGGAGATCACGAGGTCAGGAGATCGAGACCATCCTGGCTAACACAGTGAAACCCTGTCTCTACTAAAAAATACAAAAAAACTAGCCAGGCCTGGTGGCCGGCGCCTGTAGTCCCAGCTACTCGGGAGGCTGAGGCAGGAGAATGGTGTGAACCCGGGAGGTGGAGCTTGCAGTGAGCTGAGATCCGGCCACTGCACTCCAGCCTGGGCAACAGAGCGAGACTCCGTCTCAAAAAAAAAAAAAAAAAAGCAAAATTAGCTGGGTGTGATGGCACACACCTGTAGTCCCGGCTACTCAGGAGGCTGAGGTAGGAGAATTGCTTGATCTTGCCAAGATCAACGAGCCAGGTGGTGCCACTGAGCTCCGCCCTGGGTGACATATTTCTCTTCCTTTACCACCCCCCAGCCCTGGAGTTTCTGTGACTGCCAGTATACATTTCCAGAGCTGCTTCTGTTACTAATATATCCCTGGCCTATTTATTTAAAAGATCGTAGTGTACAACTTGTTCTCCACCTTTTTTTTTTTAAGCCTAAAATGGTCTTGCCATGTTCCCAGGCAGTACGCAGAGACCGTCCTCTGGCTTTTTAGCTGCTAAGACTTCCCTGTGTCTTCCCTGTGCTCACCACACCACCCCCATAGACCTGTGGAGGGCTTTTGTGGTTTCCCAGCTTCATGCAAATGGTAAAAGGGTGTGTTGTCTTTGGTTTTTTGTTTTTGTTTTTGTTTTGAGACAGAGTCTCTCTGTCACCCAGGCTGGAGTGCAGTGGCACCATCTCACTGCAACCTCTGCTTCCTGGGTTCAAGCGATTCTCCTGCCTCAACCTCCCGATCTTAGATTACAGGCATGAGCCCTCGCACCCGGCTGGGTGTGGATTCTAATGTAACAGCTAATATGCCTTCCAAAGAGGCGGTACTGAATCACACGTTCCTGGATTTAATTTGTGGTAATAGGGCTTTAAAAAGTATTTTTATTTGTTTATTTTTATTTTATTTTTTGTTTGAGATGGAGTTTTGCTCTTGTTGCCCAGGCTGGAGTACAATGGTGCGATCTTGGCTCACTACAACCTCCGCCTCCTGGGTTCAAGCGACTCTCCTGTCTCAGCCTCCCGAGTAACTGGGATTATAGGCGCCCACCATGCCCAGCTAATTTTTTGTATTTTTAGCAGAGATAGGGCTTCACCATGTTGGCCAGGCTTGTCTTGAACTCCTGACCTCAGGTGATCCACCCACCTCTGCCTCCCAAAGTGCTGGGATACAGGCGTGAGCCGCCGCGCCTGGCCTAAAAGTATTTTAAATAGCTTTCCAGCAGTCCTTTTGGTCCCAGGAGATAAAACCTGGAGGTAGGCTCTAGAGTGCCAGCCCTCTCTGACCCAGAGGTGAGGGTTATTGTTAATAGGAACCCTTTCAGGAAAGGTGAGGGCCCCACTTCTCATGTCCCTAAGCCGTTTGTACTTGTTTTTCTCTGACCCACCTGTGTGTGTGGTGAGTGTATGTGTGTGTATGTGTTGCTTTTTTTTTTGGAGAGTGATTTTCAGTAACAGAAAGGGATGTGCTCTCTGTAAGAGTGAATCTATTCTTGCCCCTATGTGTAAGGCAAGAAGGAGAAGCTGTGTTCTCTGAACAGGAAGACCCTACTGAGAGAAGGAGGTGTGTTGGAGTTCAGTCATTCTGGTGGGAAAAATATTAGAGATAGTTATAGAAATAGTCACAAATCTTGGAAGACTGAGAAGAGCTGGCTGAAGGCGGCCAGATCTCTTTACCTTTAGTTAAACAAATAAAAATAGTATTAAAAGAAAGGCAGAGTAGTTTAGCTAGCTATCTTGTTTACTCATACAATCTTAAGACCATGGACGCTTAAGTGCTTTTTACGTGGCAAGTCCACAATGTCCATTATACTCTAATGGTGTTGACTCAGCTTTTGAGTAATCTTACCGAATAAATGTGAGTCTGACTAGCTGATCAGGGCCAAGTAGCAACAGGTTTACAGGACTCAGCAGGGAGCCTGTAAGCGGCTGGGACCCGCAGCTGGACTGGCCGAGCAGAGTATCTATGTGTCCGTGTACTTTATTCATCTGTCGCCGGGTCAGGGGTCTGCAAGGGACAGACTCCCTGCAGCTGGTGCCCCCTCAAAAGGAGTGAGGTCGCAGAGGTGGGCTTGTCTGAGACTGGTAGAACTCCACGCCAATTCTCAGGTCATTCTAACTTCAGCATGGAGAAGGACAGTGGATGTCCCAGGAAGGAAGACCCAGCCCTGTAGGGGGCTTCTGACAGGTGCATGCGGCAGCATCTGCAGGTGGAGCGGCAGCTGCGTTCCAGGTGCAGGGGGCAGCCTGGATCCCGCACCGGTGGGCAGGATGGGCGTTCCAGGATGCGAAGGAGAGGCTGGGCCTTTGATCTGTGGACATTGCTCCTGGAGCAGTGAAAAGCCATAGAAAGTGATTTTTTTTTTTTTTTTTTTTTTTTTTTTTTGAGACAGAGTTTTGCTCTTTTTGCCCAGGCTGGAGTGCAGTGGCGCAATATCGGCTTACCGCAACCTCCACCTCCCGGGTTCAAGCGACTCTCCTGCCTCAGCCTCCTGAGTAGCTGGGATTACAAGTGTGCGCCACCATGCCTGGCTAATTTTGTATTTTTTAGTAGAGACAGTGTTGCTTCATGTTGGCCAGGCTGGTCTGGAACTCCCGACCTCAGGTGATCCGCCCACCTCGGCCTCCCAAAGTGCTGGGATTACAGGCATGAGCCACCGTAACCGGCTGAATTTTTTTTCTTTTTTTTTTTTTTTTTAAATGATCACAGGTAAGGTTGGGTTCCAGAATTTTCTCCTTAGGAAGGGAAAGGGCACCTTCTACCCCCTTATTCCTTGAGCCTGATCCTA